CTAAGGGAACAAAGCCCAAGCGAAAACATTCGAAAAATATCAAAAATCTCGAAATTAGCAAAACTCGAACCCCGGGCCCACGTCTCGGAATCGGGTAAAAATTTACATTTTTAGAATCATCATACCCTCAATAGTCTAACCATACCAAAATTATCCAATTCCGATACCATTTGGTCCTTCAAATCATCATTTTACATTTTTGAAAGGTTCCACAATTTTCTTCCCAAATTCCATCTCAAATCACAAATTAAATGATGAATTCAGTGATAGATTCATGTACTCTAACCAAATCTGAGTTAGAATCACTTACCCCGACCAATTTCTTGAAAAACCTTCGAAAACTTTCCAAAATCCGAGCTCTCTAAGTTAAAATATAAAATAAAACCCAAAACCTCGTATTTATAGAGTACCCCTTGGATTTTGACACCGCTGATCGCACAAAAATGACCGCGGTCCGCGCAAAACCAGCGTGGTCCGCGCAAAAACGACCGCAGCCGCGCAGGTCTTGCTCTGCAGGGACATACTTTAGTAGTTTGGCCATAACTTTCGCTACAGATGTCCAAATTGCGATATCTTTACCTTTCTGGAAACTAGACACAAAGGCATATAACCTTTGTTTTTGAATCACCTCATAATTCCTTGTGTGTCAAAAGATATGAGCTTCCGAAGTAGGATCAGTAACTTGCAGTCTTCAGTGACCGCGGCCGCGGCCGCTTTGACGCGGTCAGCGCTAGACCAGCGCGCCCAGCGCGAAAAGGAGCGCGGTCCAAGCCACAACTGCTGCCCCCTCCATTTTCTAAGTTCCGGGGTGTCCGTACTCGCTCAAACCTCACCCGAAACACGCCCGAGGCCCCCGAGACCTCAACCAAAAGCATCAACGCATCCTAAACATTATTCAACCTCGTTCCAATCATCAAAACACCTCGACTAACACCAAAAATCATCAAATCACATCGCATTCAAGCCTATAAATCTCAAGAACTTTCAAATTCCATTTTTGATCAAAAATCCAACCAAACCACGTCCGAATGACCTCAAATTTTGCAGACAAGTCTAAAATGACATAAAAAAGCTATAGAAACTCTCGTAATTTCATTCCGACCCTCGGATCAAAATCTCACCTATCAACCGGAATTCGGCAAAATAATAACTTCGCCAATTCAAGCCTAATTCTATACCGTACCTCCAAAACCACTTCCGATCACTCTCTAAGTCACAAATCACCTCCCGAAGCTAACCGAACCATCAGAACTCATATCTGAACCCTCTAACCCATAAGTCAACATCCGGTTGACTTTTCCAACTTAAGCCTTCTTAAAAGAGACTAAGTGTCTTATTTCTTATTAAAATCAATCCGATTTAAAACACATCGAATACCGATAACAAAATATGAAGAAGAATAAAATGGGGGAAACGGGGCGGTAACTCACGTGACGATGGGTCGGGTCGTCACATAAAAAGTTCCAAACATGCGTAAAATTCAAATGTTATAATGACATATGCAGTAATTATCTTCAAAAAGGCTTCCTAAAATCCAAACTGGTAGCTCCCAGAATGTATAAAATTCAGCAGAACTGGTTAGTAGGAAAAAAATTATATGTAACTAAAAGAAAATTTCGACCAGGGCAAGTGCAAAAAGTAATGCGAAATATACTTTTAGACAAACCAAGGGTTAAAAGGGCGGATGTAATTAATCCGAAACAGAAACCCAAATGTTTGGTATCACATTTATTTATCCGAAGATGTTGGGAAAGAAAATATCAAGCAGGAGTGAATGGTAGATGCGTAAAATTTGGCTTCACAGAGATTTTCTAATATTTACTTCTTAATATAGTTTACGCCAGGAGAAATAATTAACTGTATGATAACTTAAGCTGATAAATTTCTTTCTTTTGTTTATATTAAAAAATAATGGTGATTGAAATTATATGTCAGACAGTAGAACAAGAAATAGCATGGTAGAGAGAAAATTACATTTTCGTCTTGAACAACGGTAATCTGGAATCGGGTCTTTCCATCTTTACTTTTCCTTGGCCGAGGTTTCTCAATCACTTGTACTTTTGAGATCCACTCTTTTGTTTGTGGAGTGATCTTGTCAATGGTTAGTCTGTACTCCATTTGTTCTGTACAATCTACAGTGGAAAAGAAGAAGAACAAAAAATAATAAATCATCATTTACTGAAAGATAAACTATAGATACCGTCAGATAATTAAATAGAGGAATTGAGGACGCTATTTGGGTTTAAACTACATGTCATGACAATTAGCACACGAATCTGGCACTATGGTAGTCTTACTACACCAAACACCCACGCTGTGTAAACATTTATGTTTTTTAAAAATATAAGATTATTGCTTGTCTAAAAACTTTCTGGGATCTTCCTACACTGCTAAAATTACATATAGGAATCATTTTCTACCAGGATGTGCGTATGTTTCTTAGTTGTTGTCCCCTGCAGAGAAGTGTCAGTTTTGCGGATATTACCTATTAGTATTAGGAACATGTACCAAACCTGCAGCCAAGTGTGNTCAGACCTGCAGCCAAGTGTCTCTGTATGACCATGTTAGCCAATATTGTAGGTCATTGTTGTTTTGTCTTGGGTCAAAACAATCATGTACAAAGAAGATATCCTCTCTGGTCTGCATCACTTCAATGAATGCATTCTGATTGTTACGCACCAGATTGCGTACCAACAGTATGTTGTATCGACTTCTTCATAGGTTTTTTAGCTAAGATACTATGTGCTCTAGTTGCAATATCCTCATAAAATATCCTTTTCAATAATTTCATTGTACACAATATTTTCTGTGCAGCGATCGCCATAGCTACCTGGTATAGTGGGTCAAATTAGCACCTTCACAGAGTTTGAACTTTTTGCTCTAGACAAAGCAACATAAAGTTGGTCGTGTGAAAAAACAGGTTCTCGTAAATAAATTCCAACAAAATCCAATGTCTGACCTTGTGCCTTATTTATTGTCATGGCGAAACACAATCTTACAGGAAATTGTGTCCTTTTAAGTGGGACATGCATTTTTTCGTCTTGGGATGATAGTAAGGGTATTCTTGGAATAAACACATGTGTATTTTTTAAGTCACCCACTGAAATATTGGCACTAATGACATGTGATTTAAAGTCGTAGCAAGTCAAACGTGTACCGTTACATAAACCCTCAGACGGATTTAAATTTTGTAATAATATAATTGGACAGTTCTTTTTCAATGTTAATTTGTATGGCGACAGACCAGGTGGATTTAAACTATGCAGCAAATCCTCATACTATGATTGATTAGTAGGTTCAATGGTTTCATCAATGCCAACAAAAGTTTTTGCTTCCTCTGGAAATCGAGCAACAAGCATGTCGTTAATCTCATCAATGAAATCATTCTTAGTTGTTAGGATAACACGAGAGCTTGTGCAGGGCGAGGAAGAAATAAATGTATGCAAATCTGGATAAGTTATCGTGAAGAGTTTATCCAAAGATTCCTTTTCAGTTGTATAAGGAACGATGAAGGATGCTGGAATTTCAATCTTATTTGTTGAGGTCACTTTTTCTTTTCCATTTCCTACTCTCAATAAATAATTACAAAATGAAGGATCATCTTTTGCTCTCATATTTTCAAATAACCGCAACCTTTCAAGTTCTTCCCAGATATGAGAATATAGTAAACTTTCATTAATGAAATCTTCTTTTTCCCCGTTTCGAACTACTAGAAGTGTTTGTCTGACATCACCTCCAAAAACTACAACCTTTCCACCAAATAGTATCGTTGAATCCATTAAGTCCTTTAAAAGTAAATCAAGCAGTTCGATCATTCTTTTTTTCGCCATTGAATACTCGTCCCATATGATTAATTTGGCATCCTGAATCAAACATGTTAGTGAGCTTTGCTTGCTAATGTTGCATGTGACATTTTCGTCAATATTTATTGGAATTTTAAAATGTGAATGTGCAGTTCGTCCACCGGGAAGTATAGAAGCAACTACACTGGAAGTTGTAGTTACCAATAGGGTTGTTCATTCAGATCGGATATTCGAAATCCGAACCGATCCATTCAATTTTGAATTTTGGATTTCGGATTGGATCGGATTTCGGATTATGTTTATTAAAATTTCGGATTTCGGATTGGTATATTTTAATCCAATCCAATCCGAAATCCGAAATTATTAGGACATGTATAAATACTACACTTTAAATTACATCAACCTCCAAGTTATTACCTTTACAATTGCTACATTTAGCTATATTGATACCATAGTACTCTCATAATTGCATAAACATGAATTTTTCTTAATGTATTGCCTCTTTTACAAAGAAAATATACATATTAGTTTAACTTTGAGGCATAATAATACGATCTGATATCCGATCCGATCCAAACTTTAAAATCCGATCTGATCCGATATAATTCGGATCGGATTCGGATTGCATTTTCTAGAATCCGAAATCCGAAATTCGAATCCGAAATATGCTAAATCTGATATGATCCGATCAGTGCACAGCCCTAGTTGCCAATGCTATATATCCTTTAGATCGTATAGTTGCCAGCAACTCGCGGTACAAGAAGGTTTTTCCAGTTCCTCCCGGACGATCAATAAAGAATGCTCCCGTTTTGTTTGAAAAAATCCTGTCTGTAATTACATTGTACGCTTTGAGTTGATCTTCATTCAACTTTTTGTGTAGTAGTATATCCTATTCAGTTACAGTGATGGTCCTTTCATAGTACACTTATTTTGCATCTTTTGCAACTATAGAAGACCTTATTGCTTCTGGAACTAGATGATATTCATTTATGTCGCAACCCATAGAGTGCAATATATCATTAATATGGTTTATAACCGTGTATCGTATGTCTCTTTTGTGAATATTAGGTGACAAGTTGTAATCCTCCGACATGTGCTCTTCAAATTTCTCCCAAAGTTGTCTCGGGTTAGTCGGATTTCAGTAGACCAATAATATAGCAAATAAACGTCTCAAACTGTATGACATTTGATAACTTGCTGCTTCAGACATGCATTCTGTCAAGCTATTATCACTCTGTAGCAATTCGTGCTTTTCCGCAGATTCCCTAAAGCTACTGTAGCATTCTCCGTTAATAGTTAGTAGATCCCTATATGATTTTGGTCCTCTAATATTCATTAGTAACATCCTAAGGTAGTATCGCTCTCCTTCTGTTGGATGACATGTTACTACACGGCCAATAGCATGTTGTTTTTTTCGACGCGTCCACATTTTCTCCTTTGCAGACCAAACGAAATGTTCGGGGAATTCTCGATATAATAGATTGAGTTCTCCAGCGTCTGTGTTTGTTCTATTCATTTCAAAAAATTGTGTTAACATCGTCTGCTTAATCATCGGATTATTTACAAGCGTATCTATGTTTGTGCTGCTTTTAAATGAAACAAATTGTTGTCCTTTAAGGTGAAGTTGAAGAGGGCATACACTCGGGTAGATTTCACTGATGGAGAAACCGTACAACCGCCACATAGCTTCCGGAGGCGAGAACCATCTAGCAGACTGATATTCTTTTATCTCATCTATTACTTATGTGTTGGTGTCCTTATTGTGTATAGAAAATGCAATCTTATCGTGTCCTTTACATATATACTTATAAAGATACTTAGACTTTAATATCAGAACATATCTCAACATTCATATGGCAATCAAATTTCCCGAGCAAAAAAGGATTATATGGAACAACCCATGAGTTATCCAAATGTCGTTCTCTTATTTTTACTACCACTCCTGTATTGCGTCTTCTATAAATTGGATATGATTCTATTCCTTTTGATGTCTGCTCCACAAAGTTTTTTGGGTATTTGAATTTACAGTGACCTTTTTTCTTCATACAAGAATTTGTTGGGTTTAGATTACCGCACAGACCATGCATCATGTGTTTAAGAACAAGTGAATATAAATCAGGTTCTGCTTTTTCATTAGGTATTTCTGCACTAATAATATTATCGTACGCCTCTGGAGTAAGTAACTTGTATTCATTGGTTAATATTATAAGAAAATGAGCGTGAGGTAAACCTCGCTTTTGGAACTCTACAGTATACATAAAAGCTGCAACTTTCCCAAAGATATTTCGTTTTAGTATATCCTTTTTGAATTCTTCTATTTTCGCTCTAAATACTCAACTGATCAAATCAGGCCTGTTATGTGCCTCATCAGTTGAGATTAAATGTTCCTTTATTTCTGTCCAAGAGGGATTACATGTCATTGTTATAAATAAATCAGGTTTACCGAAATGCTGTACGAGCGCAATAGCATCCATGTACCGTTGACGCATATATCGGGGCCCTCCAATAAAAGAACTTGGAAGGAAAGTTTGTTTCCCGATATTAGAAGCATCGCGTTCCCCTAATCGCAAAATGTCAAGAAGACTTTCTAGTATAGCCATTCTGAACAAATCTTGATTGAATACTGCAAAATCCAACCTTTGTGTTTCAAGTTTAATATACTCATCAACTGAATACTGCTGAAATATTCTTCCTGTGTGCAATATTTCATCTTCATCGTCGTTTCTCATTTGTAGTTTGTAACAGTAATATTCACGGACAAAAACTGTATCCCATCGTCGCTGTCCTTTTTTTAGAATCTCAGCTTCCATTTCCAAATATCCGTGAAGGGAGGTAACATTTTGTATGCTTGGTACCTCTTCGTGCTGCACAATTCTTGCGTATGCAGGACAATTTTCTGGGAGCTTTTTAATACCACAATGCCATCCACTTTGTCCTAGTGGAAATAATTGCGGATATTGCAATGCGTCGTAACAGCCATAGTAGTAATTCACTATTTGTGTTCGATCAGTGCGAGGGTAAATTTGAATATGTGGTGCATTAAAGGCTGCGTCGACATTTTCCTTGGTCCATATTGCTGCAATTTCAGATGAAGTTGGCAAATTTTATACTCTCTGGTCCAAGTCTATATCACATTTGAGAGCTATATGGAAATCTCGTAGGTTCGGTATATGGACCAAAGATCATAAAAACACAGAGTATGGGTTTATTGATAATATATCTATCAATTCCTTCACTACCGATTCATGTACTCTCTCGGAGCATGTCATCCTATGTGTCAGCTCATTGCTATTATCGTAGAAATATAATTGTATGTTTCTTGGTTTGTCATTTGTAGGGTGCAAATTATTTATCCAATGGTACATCTTTCCTTGAACTCTGAAGGTGTAAATACCGGAGTTTCTTTTTGCTAAATCTTTGTCATATTTTACACCAAATGACGTGAATGCAAAAAGATTATTATATGTTCTAATGTATGTTCAAAAGTGGTTAGACGCCACGCTATTTCCAACATATAAATTACGCAATTTCACAGGCATTTGATGAGAAGTTAACTTTACTGTCCCAGTACGACAACAGAATGCAGGAGGTTCATATTCAAATCTTTTCGCTGAGCAAAATTTGCAAATTGGAACTCTCTGAAGCGACACATAGTTTGAACGCAACCGACTGATGTTTGGAGTAAACTTTGTGGTGGTTGTACCATCTGTATAATCGAAATGGATCATTAAAACTAAGGCAAAGCAAAAGCAGTCATGACTGTTAATAGGAGACAAAAAACTGAACAGACCTTTGGGTGTAACTATCTTGGAGACACTGTTATGTAGTTCAGTGGATACAATTGACGTTGAACCTAAAATGAAGGTAGGTGGTCTTTAGATGGAACTAAATAGTGGTAGCTATTTTAAAAGCGAGCAAAGAAAGCATACTCACCTTTTTCATAGACAGAAAATGGACGTGTTTCATCTCTTTCTTTACCAGCCATTGTTCCAATCAATAGAACAGTAGTTATATTCTCAAAAAGCGTATGTCTCTTTGACTCTTGGTATTTTAGTCGACGTTGTAGCAATAACTTTTGATTTTTCTCTACTGCCATCTCTTTGTATTTTTCACGTCGACTGACATTTCTATCTGTCTCTGAGAGGGGATGTTTATTTTTTTGTGTATGATCCATCACAGTCGTAGTAATTACTCCTAAATGAAGTTGTGCAAACTGTCACACAACCCTTTAGCAAGATATCAATTTATATTAGCGAGTATGTAGAAGCACAAAAAGGTACTGGACTTTGATATACGTGACACCTGCTGTGACCACCAACAACAGCTATAGTCAAACAACATTGCAGATAAATACAGTACCACAACTTGTAGAAACAAAAACGGTGCGCAACATTAACGATTAGTAGTACAACGGGCAGGAGAAATAGAGGATGTGCTAATAAGAGCCTGCGTTTACAAATATATAAAGATAAGATAGTTGGTTACCTGTAAGCACGTCGAGCAACTTTTTTTGTCGGACCAAATGTAACAGAAGCGTCAGCAGTTCTAGAAAGGCAGAAATAAGTTGTAGTCATGGTTAGCATTAACTTCAACACATTGTGCATTCAAAATACTCGCAAAAATATTAAGATGAATGGTAAAGACAAGAAAGAAGATCACTATAGTAAACTCTATTAGCAGACCAAATATGTGGATATGCAGTAAAAAATAGTAATAAAGAAACTAAAACTTGTGAATAGGAAATAACACGAACATCTAAAAATAAAAGAAATTGGGAGTTAAAAAGAAAAGTGGTTGTAACGTAATAAAAAAATAATGAAAACATGTTTTACCTGGGAAGCAAACAAGATGTTATCTGGTTTTATATCATGATGCGCCACTGCCATTTTTTCAGAATAATTAATTGGTAAAACTAATTGCCTTAAAATAACAACAGCAGCTTTCTCAGAAAATAGTGAGAAGGGAGTGAAAAGAAAGGAAATAACTGAAAGATGCTCTAACAATTTGTTACAAACTATTCATTCATT